CAGAAGATATTTCGAGTAACCGGTTAGTAAATTTTTCTGGTTTGACAACCCTAATTTTAACATTATAGTGAACACGTTAAAATGAGTTTTTTTCTTCAAATTTCACCCAATAGGCTTCTGTAACAGACATTTTCATTTAAAGAGTGGAACCTTTTTTTATCCCCTCCCGCGGGGAGTGGTGGTGGTGTATGGGGTAAGGGGGTGTTTTGTTCCGTGCGTACATATTTATCACCTTTTTCATCGCTCTATTGAATTCATATCGTGAACATATGAACTGTACCATTGTATAAAAAAGTTTCCAGTCATGGTTCTAATGAATCGTCATCAATACATAAATAAATTTAATCAGTTTAGGATAATTATTCAATATTTTCTTTTAATATCTAGCATTCAATAATATGTCTTAAATATGGTTTTCAATGCACTGCAAAAAAAGTGCGGGATTATCTATCCTAGTTAAACTTTTTTCATTAAAGAGTTCCAAAAAGGGCCCCTTATGTATCAACAAATACATTCTTAGTTAAGAACGTTCTCAAATGTTTAAGAACGCCTTCGAGATACACCAATTTGAGAAATTCTCAGCTAAGTACGTACTTAGCTTAAGAATGGAAAGTTAAGAATTGAGAATTAAGAAGTTTCGAGATTCAGGTTGCATATCTTGAAATAAAAATCCTCTGAGTTATTGGGGTTTTGTGTATGTGATTTTTTTTTTTTTTACTTTGCTTACAATTGTATCCATACAGTCAATACAACTTAAACAATGGCTTGGTTTGTTTGTGTTTTACGTCCTATTAACAGGTTTGGTCATTTAAGGACGTGTCAGGTTTTGATGGTGGAGAAAAAGCGGAATTCCCGGAGAAAACCCCCCCAACCAACAGCCAGTACCTGGCGGACTGCCCCACGTAGGTCTCGAACTCGCGACCCAGTGGTGGAGGGCTAGTGGTAGCAGAATGTTAGACGCCTTAACCACTTGTCCACCGCGTAGAATAGTTAAACTAAATCTAACAAATTTGTTTAGTGTGTTTAAGAATTATAGAGAAAAGATTGACATATAATAACTTAAACAAATTCCCTCAACACAAGGGGTTGATCTTTACCGGGAAGTTATAGGGAATGATATAAATCATCTTAAACTACCTAACACGTTTTCCTTTTATACAGACAAAAATTATCGAGACCTGTTCTTCTATGCGTATAGGATGCCTCTTAAATAATGATGACAAAATATGTGTGAAGTTCTATAATTAAATCACTTTCGATGGCACCTATCTGACCGTAGGGTAATCTATAGGTGTGTGTAAAAGTGGTTGACATTTAAATTTCCGGGAATCGTAGGACTTTCAATGAAGGAGTTATTAAGATATCCCACAAGTGCTTATTGCCGACATTTCCAGGATCGGCAAACACGAATACACAAGGCGCGCTGAAGGTAAAGTAAACGATTTTTCGTTCTAAAAAGGGAACACTGCCCCCAGGAGAGCAATAAGCCGTTTACAATCCGATGTAGTCACTGTCAATTAGCTATGGCACAGCAGTAAAGTCGACAACTGATATTGAGTTCAGTATATAGTGTGCGTACAAAAGGATACGGGTTCCTGATATGGTTCAATCGCCCTGGTTTCTCTATGCAAGCTATATATAGTAATACCGTATTGATATAATCTGTTGTTTTAGAACTTTTATGTCAAACTTGACAACAACTTATCATTAACGGAACAGTTCATGGTAGTCCCTATGGTTTTGTGCTTCGATGAACGATTTAACAAATGTGCTGTCTTCCTGTGTGGGTGGTGTAGTTGGTTAGGTTACTCCCGGAGAAGCCCGATATGTTACTATTGATGTTGTTGGTATGCCTCTCGCTATATAGAGGCGTGTTTATGTTGTTGGTATGCCTCTCACTATATAGAGGCGTGTTTATGGTGTTGGTATGCCTCTCACTTGCTATATAGAGGCATATAGAGGCGTGTTTATGTTGTTGGTGTGTCTCTCATTAAATAGAGGCGGTTTATGTTGTTGGTATGCCTCTCACTATATACAGGCGTGTACATGTTGTTAGTATGCCTCTCACTATATAGAGGCGTGTTTATGTTGTTGGTATGCCTCTCACTATATAGAGGCGTGTTTATGTTGTTGGTGTACCTCTCACTATATAGAGGCGTGTTTATGTTGTTGGTATGTCCCTCACTGGATAGAGGCGTGTTTATGTTGTTAGTATGCCTCTCACTATATAGAGGCGTGTTTATGTTGTTGGTATGCCTCTCACTATATAGAGGCGTGTTTATGTTGTTGGTGTGCCTCTCACTATATAGAGTCGTGCTTATGTTGTTGGTATGCCTCTCACTACATACAGTCGTGTTTATGTTGTTGGTATGCCTCTCACTATATAGAGGCGTGTTTATGTTGTTGGTATGCCTCTCACTATATAGAGGCGTGTTTATGTTGTTGGTGCACCTCTCACTTTTTACAGGCGTGTTTATGTTGTTGGTGTACCTCTCACTATTTAGAGGCGTGTTTAAGTTGTTGGTATGCCTCTCACTATATAGAGGCATGTTTTTGGTGTTGGCATGTCCCTCACTATATAGAGGCGCGTTTATGTTGTTGGTATGCCTCTCAATGTATAGAGGTGTGTTTATGGTGTTGGTATGCCTCACACCTGCTATATAGAGGCGTGTTTTTGGTGTTGGCGTGTCCCTCACTATGAAGAGGCGCGTTTATGTTGTTGGTATGCCTCTCACTATATAGAGGCGTATTTATGGTGTTGGTATGCCTCACACCTGCTATATAGAGTCATGTTTATGTTGTTGGTATGCCTCTCACTATATAGAGGCGTGTTTATGGTGTTGGTATGCCTCTCACTATATAGAGGCGTGTTTATGTTGTTGGTATCTCTCTCAATATATTGAGGCGTGTTTATGCTCTTACCATGTAAGAGTAAAAAGGATTATTAGACACATAAGTCCTGTGGATAAAGACACCTTGCCTACTCGACAGCGATTTGCTGTGATTTTCTGACTTTATACAAGTATGCTTTTTACTGTTACATCTTCATAGTAGTTTTTGTTTTCTTTGATTAACTAAATGAATAAACAGGGCATTCTAATCAAAACGTTATCTAATTTGCTAACACAAACTCTGCAACATATTTAACACAGCAAACTTTTTAATTTAACATTAACATAAGAATATTTCCGCAACATATTAAACCTGCCAAAGATAAATCGAGATATATTTTTTACAGCCATCAAACGAAATGCCGTTCGAACCATTTCCTTATCTATATTTATCAATCTCATGATTAAAAGTTAATAGATCGTAAGGTGTAATAAATATTTAAGACATTATATATATTGTCAACGACATCAGATAAAAGTTTGAAATTGAGCCAACACGTATTACACGTAACTTCCGAACTGTTAATTGGTAATTGTATACACTATCAATAATCGCAATGACGCTTCATTGTGGACCATCGGTTTCAGGACCAATTTATATTCCTGCGTTAGAATCACTGGTAGTGATTTAGAGATCGATTAGAATTACACTGTGATTTTTTCTTTTTGTAGTTATAACCGAATTTACTGTTTTTACGATGAAGAGACACTTTCATTGGTTCATTACCATATACAAATGTAGGACGATATTTCACGCGCGAACATGCATTTGATTCTAGAATACCATGCACGTGTTTCACTCCTCCCTTCACCTCATCGCAGAGGTAAAACAGCGATATGTCAAGTAGTGTTGATGAATTGTTGCTTTTGATTGATTGAAATAAACGCCTTTTATAAACTAAATGACGCTTGCTGGGTTTCTGATCATAATTGGAGATAGGGTTTTTCTTAAAGTGCCTTGTTGTTGACATTCACAAGCCATATAAAAACTCCGCAAAACTTGTTCCAGATGAAGGGTCACGCTTAGGCAGTGGAAACGATATATCTTCATTGGTTTCAATCATGTCTTGTGAAATTACAATAAATCAACAAATTATAGGCAGATGTAATGCTTCCTAAATATATCTTGGTTAAATAGGCAAAATAAAACATAAACAATCATCGAAATGCACAGCATGTTGTGATTTGAAGACAAACGCATTAGATGGCAAATAGTAATACGCGAAAAAAGATAGGTACCGGCATACTATTGGTGTATCGGCTCTGAAGCGAGACACACAGTTTCATTACATGTCACGTGGTAGAATATCTGTTATCGACATAAGTGAAAGTGGTCATGTTCTCTTCGTATTTGTTTCTATAGAAAAGCGACACGATGTAGTGTTATCACTCTATCAATCAACGGGTTGTCTGTGTCTGATTCCATCGTTCAAACTTTCAGACATTATATAAATATATATGGAGCTAACATAATCCCACATCTATGGTTAATCCTGTAAGGTGTATTGGAGCTAACATTATCCCACATCTATGGTTAATCCTGTAAGGTGTATTGGAGCTAACATTATCCCACATCTATGGTTAATCCTGTAAGGTGTATTGGAGCTAACATTATCCCACATCTATGGTTAATCCTGTAAGGTGTATTGGAGCTAACATTATCCCACATCTATGGTTAATCCTGTAAGGTGTATTGGAGCTAACATTATCCCACATCTATGGTTAATCCTGTAAGGTGTATTGAGTACAAGTGACAATGATACCAAACGATATTTGAATTTATTGCGAAGGATTAATGTGTATTCATGTGTTTCTGAACAAGTTACACGTTCCAACGAGTGTAACTTTAAAATGTATTGGGCATTAATGACTTTATATTTATGGTGAACTAATGTTTTCCCTTTTCCTTTCTGTTTCCACTGAACTATGATTTCGACATCTCCTTGATATCTAAAGAAATACATTGGTAACATGCCAAATACAGTAGACTTAACTTTTCCTTTGATAAGACACTGTAAAACCATTTTTCTCTCCAAATGGTTAATGTTAAATCACTTTTGTTAAAGAGCTAAAACGACATTAATGTGAAAATATGACAAAACTGATATATATTTATACAAATATCACAATTTATTTGGATCTTAACTAACTCGTTGCGATGTACATATTCCATACACCTTTATATACATACTTTTCTGGAATGAGAATGTCCTTCCACTGATACATATATGTGTAGTATCAAATAAAATAAAATACACTTAAATAGAGAATAAAATATCAGGGAACATTGAGATGAAAACCAATTGAGATTACAATGATGAGAAGAATACAATGTTTCGATAGATAGTATGAGACATAGGGCACCATCAACTGATTCATGATCTGATCTGTATATTACATGATACTTCGAACGTCTTAGCAAATCATTGTTTTCCCTTCCATTTATGAACGTAAACAGTTTTATTGTTTTATATTTTCAAAATGTCATTTAAACGTTTCGAACGAACGAAAACTGAACTATTTATGAAAGGGAAAGGTAAAATCCTTTTCAAAGATGGACAAACTATACAACACACAAGGAGAAAATGGAATGGAATGTAACATCATTACGCCTCTGAGGTGACAAAAATATGATAAAATCACCTCTGGGAGTCTACAAAAGCAGTTGGGTAGAATTATAATTGATCTTTTATTTGATTACGTTAAGAGCTTTCCAACCAAAAATGAAAATGATCTGATAAGATAAATAAACTGTTGTGATTTATATTCCTATTGGTAGAAAACTTTATTAAATTAATGACCATTAAATCGATTTCGTATAAAAAAAAAAAAGAGAAAGATAAAGAAGAATCGAGTAAGTGAGGAGTATGTTATATACAGCACTGAAATAGGATAGGTGCAAATAGACAATTGATTGAACAATACGAATATATATACAATACTATGTAAGTAACTTAATAGTAAAGGATTTGGCACATATGGATAATATAATTGTCAACACCCGCACCGTGTGATATCATTGTCAGTTAAAATCTGAAATGGACGAAGTTTGATTGATATCTGAAGACTGGCAAGTCCACGCATTATGTTTATGAAGTCTATAATGCTGATTAACACCTATGATTAACACCTACTGCATCCGTTACTGTCGTACACTTTCCAAACAATGTCTTGTCTTTTAGATATTTCATAAGTCATACAAATCTTCACAAGAACTGCTTTGTTTTGAAGATTTACGGAATAATCGACTCAAAAGTCCACGCGCACCTTTGCTTTTTCTGCGTCCTTGACCATCTGCAATGGATGCCTCCGACTTATCAACTACTTCTGGGTCAAGTTTAAGGCGGATCTGGCGTAAGACCCCAACCAGTAATTCATCGACATTGTGATTGAGGGTGACGGATGTCTCGGCATATTTACTGTGGAAGTGTTCAGCCATCCGTTTTGCTTCTGAAAAGACAGAAATGGAACAATTTTATAAAAATGTGCTTTTAGTTAAGCATATATGTCATTGTTTTGTGATAAATCCTGCTGTCTATATGCACTGTGTTTTGTCATTTGCGATAGGACACTATACTGCGATGTTTTTGATAAATGTTGAAGCCAATTGTACCTTTTATTGATTTTATAACCTGGCGACAGATATTAAACCGATACAATAGTGAGTAACCTGTAAATATCAGTGACTAATTTTCAATAACGTCATTGCTACTGGTGACTGTTGTGAACAAATATTTGTAATGTTACGCAATTACAATAACACAGTCACGACAGGAAGCGTTCCCAATGTAAATGAAAACATGGCGTGATTCTCACCGAACACAATAGCCTTTTGTTATTTATGGACGGCTTTTTTAAGAGGCGTAGAATAAATCAAAATTACTATTATACTTATCAGGATATGCTATACTTGTGTATCGGTAACATGTCCTAAAATCGATACCATAGCATACACTATATCATAGACGTTCACATCATCACATATTACACCTGACTCGGGTTGACAAAGAACTGTTAACTTTTCTTACTTTTATTCCAGGATACAAAATTATTTTCATTTCCGACATTTAATTTAATTATATCAAGAAAAATTAAATAATAATTTAATTTAAAAAGATATCGTATTTGTGGACTGTTCTTTTCTTTTCTTATATTACTAACGTGTGTTATATCTACCGACTTGTTATTGTTTGGTTTTAGTAGCAGTGAAACTGACTATGCTTTCACGTGACATAACCTGAAGTCTGTTGTCATTGTATTGATATGTGTACCGCATCGCCTGGTGATGAGAATGATTCATTCATGAAACGTTGGCAATATGTGACGTTTAATGAATGAACCTTCAATCTATCCGAGTAGTATTATCAATTACCATATGTTACGATATTAAAACTAGAACATCACTCCCTTTGATAAGAGAATATGACATGACCCACTGATATTTCCCAATATCATTTCTAAATAAAATCGAGATAAAAATTCTCCAAAACGCCCTTTTTATCTAAAGAGCAAAAGCTTGTTAATTTTGAAAAGGTCAATACCCTGAGAGAATAATGAATTTCTATCACCTGATGTTTCTACAGTAATGCAAATAAACATTAAAATCAATCACAAAAAAATGTATTATAATCATATTATCGCCGTTATGAGTTTAAGTGTCAATCAAACGTAAATCAATAAAACGCACCTTCGGAGCTGACCATTCGCCTCCGGACAAGGTCAATTTTATTGGCCACTAGGATCATTGCCCGATCCATTCCCTGGGTATCCCGTAGCTGATTAAGCATTTCTACTGCTGTGTCGAACGACGCTCTGCTATCCACGGAAAACACAGCAAGGTAAGCATCGAAGTTCAGGTTACCCTGGTCTCCCTGTAGGGAAACATAATAAAGATAAAGTTAGTAAACCAAGATTATGAAATACTTTACATATAAATGGATAATTTTATCTGGCATGTCATTATCAAACCTTAAATCATATTTATCAAGTTTTGCGCACAAATGATGAACGGTATTCGGTTTTTTTATTCAATTAAGTGAGCTCTAAGCTCTTTGTACGAAATACACTTTATTAATATTTCGAATCGTATTCCACTTTGACGTTTAGATAAAGGGCCCGCGGTTCTTCAGTTGTGTGACTCATCTTGGACTAAAAATAGCACATGTAATCTATTTTAGGCTGAGTCATTGCGTAGCCATAGTAATGTTTTAGCAAACAGCACGCATATCGATTGATCATTTTCTTGACGTCTACTACTTATCACATATGTAAGATTTCATCACTTTCCTCCTTAGTCATGCAATGTTTGGGTGAACCACAAAACAGTTATCAGCTGATTAACAACACGTAATAAGTGTTTCCAAATGTGTAAGTGATAACCGTCACACACGTTACCAACGACTGTCATTGTGCCGTGCACATCTTTGTTATCATATACTATTTTTAGACATACCGTTCTATTTATAGGTATATATAGCATTTTTCCTGATACACATCAATTGATTGATATTTGTATTCCATACCGATGTATCAAATCATTGTTTGAGTCTGCAGAGCATATACAATGTACACACGACTCGGTAAGTGGTACTTCTAGGCTCGGGGCAGTATTATTAACGCGGAACTATTTTTGTTAGATAAAGAGGCGCTTACGACAGGAATCTTCCGTCAGCATTTCAAAGCACCATTAGCGAAACGATAAGATTTCCTGCAGGGAGGGTAATTGTATTATCTCATCTAAAAAATGTCAGTAGATTTGGGGAATGACAAACCTACTAGAGAATGTGTGCCGCCGCACGCGTGGTATGTACATCTTGGCCTGTTTAACATTATAATGAGGTTACGTGCGCGTTTTATACCCGTAGTGTTATAGTATAAGTAACTCCGCAGCTATGTTTTCGCATGTTTAGATAATTTGTATTGTTAGTTATATAGTTGTTGCATGGATAAATTGTTTTCAGTTTTTATTCATCAAGTTAATACTGACCTGGTCAACGTCATCAGAGTCAATAAATTCTAGTGTGGACTCCTCCCCTTCCAATAAAACAGACACGGTACCACTGCCCTCCAATTCATCTACAATAAAGGAAGAACATCATTAATAAAAGTTATGAAAACTAAAAGAGTTTCAACGCGTTTGATCAATATAAATATGTAAGCGGCCAGATTTTTTTGCAACACTTTATTTTTCAAATGATTTCTGTAGAGGTTACATTATTTATTTCAATTTTGGAATATTTATGCCTGTACTGATAAATATTGTTGTAAGATACCACCACACCACTTTATACATAAGTTTAGTTTTAATCAAAAGTACATGTAAAATAGCTATATTGTACAGTGTATGCGTCTTTACTGCTTTGTAATATAATATTCTTATAAACACCACGATCTATTAATACATGTTATCTTAATGGGATATCAAAAACTCTCTGAAACTTCCTCTTCCATCACATTAGTTTGTATATAAATAAATAACTTTCTTAAATTACTAACCTTCATGCACGTTCGCAATTGTACAGATTAATATCTAAGTAATGTAAAATTAAGACCGGGAACATCCATTTTGTTAAACGAGGTGTAATAGCACATTTTAATAACAGATAGCGCGTTGTCTGCCTATGTAAACACCAGTGAGTGATTGGATGGGCTGAAGCCTTGCCTGTGTCTATATGTCAAGCAACCGAGGCAATATTTGAGTATTCCAGATATTTAATTATGTCTCCTATCCATCACCTTGACCTGATTTACAAAATTACAAAATGTATTGATGTCTCCCTTGTAGGTTTTGAGAAAGAAAAAAACAATTTGGTTACAAAGTTACATACTTTGTTTCAGAAAACAACAACCTACGTTTCGAAACTAGATAAAACGAGGAAAAGAAACAAAGTTTTATAAAACGTCAATAAAATTATTTACATTAATAAGTTCTTACCTGATGTTATATCAAGGTTGACCATGTATTCGGATGTCATAAACTGATTGGCGAGGGCGCTCTTTCCGACCCCAGTATCCCCTATGACCAGTACCCGGTAGTATCCAGTGCTGGACGAGGATGCACAGCTGCACCCCGTTGTGCTTCCATCAGACGTGTCACTTGGGATTCTCTGTCGCTTTTGGTCACAGCTTTGGTCACGATCTGTCATTTTAGCAGATCCAGCAGATGCGATACTGCTATTGCTCTTTCTACGGAAAGAGTCGCCTCTGTTTTCAATTCCTTTAGATGTCATTTTAAATGACCGTACTCTCTCAATTGTTTCATCAGAATCATTGATGTCTGAGTATGACATGCACTGGGCCAGCATATCATCGTTTCCAACTGGCAGACTGTTCCTTCTTGGTTCCGCGAGCTTGAACCTAAGTCCTTTGGGTCTCGGCCGATTTTTGAAGGAAGTTGACCTCGAATTAGGTGCTGACATTGCTCCTCTCTCAAAGTCCAACATTTGTCTTTTTAAAGCAGCTATTTCTGGAAATATTATGTCGACGGATTTTTGTGATGAACTGTCCATAATAGGTTCACCTTGTGTTGCTTCCTCTTCAATAGTATCAGTAGTCATCGTTTTTAGTTATTAAGTTTGGAAGTTAAAGATAGAAGTAGATTCTGCTGTTCTCAATAGCTCCGCTCTAGACGGTATTGATCCAACACTAGAACCACGAAGCTTTTATATACACAACGACCAATCAACGGGCCCGACACATTGATTACGCAGCTGCTGCAGCCGCCTAGTCAGGCGCTGGGATACATCGCCTCGCTAGTAACGTCACCAATATGATGTAGTATGGGAGAGAATCTCACTACCGCCAGCGACAGTAGATTGCTGTCATAGAGAATTGATCGAATGGCGGTGAGTGCGTGTACGGTGTACGAAATTAACCTTTACAGCGTCTCTTAAGTACATCTTATCGTGGACAGTTGTAACTATTGCACATGTTCATTAACGATTGTATGTATGTACCATTGTCTACTTCATTATGTATATACAGCCGATTATGTCGGACAGTGGTGTACTACACAGGTACAGTCAGGGTTTAATGCAGACGTGTTATCGGGTGCATAGTACCGGTGTGTACGAGAGTCTGGCAAACTGACATGAAATAAATATAAGTCGTTTGGTTAAACATTTCATTTAACTTGACACTAGTCTACTACTTAATGTAGTATATGTGTTTCCAAAAAGTATTGTTATGGAAACAAGAGCTACGCTATTATTTTACCCTTAGTAGTAAGTAGTACGCCATGATCCATATGTAGAGATGTAATATTACTGTTACCAGTGTGTATCAACAGAGCTCCTTTGTATCGATCGATATTCAGCAGTTTTCTGTATGCCGGCAAACGATCGTCACAGGTTTACAAGTTTACCATGAGCAACTAGTTGTAGTGCACGACATACTACAACTAGCAAATCCATTGCAGCAGGTGAAGTTCACGTTGGGTAATGACTGATTTTGTCGACAAAGAACGTGGATTTTACTGCTCTATAAGTCAAACACCGCATTGTTTACATCACTATTTTCATAGTTCACTCAACAATAAAACATTTTTACTTAGTGTTATTATTATTTTACTTTATCTGAAAATAAAAAAAAGGCTTCATGTCTAGCTATTCGGTTGAATCGAAATGATTAGAAACGATTTTTTCTTAATCTGGTGACCTTACATTATAACCGATTAAATCCCATTAGATAACTGCTATGCTTTCTAACATTATCCTAAAGTCATATTAAGGATGCCCTTCTTTAGTATGTAATTCTAATCAAAATATGCATTCCATATGCCAGCATTTATATTCAGCCATACAAAGACATATTTATAATTTAATGTAAAAGTGTTTTCTTGTGTAATTAAATAGCTTTATTGTGATGATAACACGGATGCCTAACTTAATCTGTCTTAACTCATATTGCGGATACAACAAACATCAATGACATCAATTTGAAAAACACATTGTTAAGAGATGTGTCCAGTTTCCCCAGGCCCGGGGATCAAAGATGAACGTAACATACACGTGTAGTTGCATCTTTGAAAATTTGTAATAGATACAGCATGTCAAAAATGAATTACACTGCCTCATACAGCTGTTTCGTCCTTTTCGGACTCGCTTGTGATGCTCGGGGACAAAAAGTTGGAAATTTAAATAGTCCAAACTACTGTTTAAGCAGAATGACAAATTGCGTAAAATCCCGTTACTATTAATTTAACATCAGTCCTTCTAGCACAGCTGTAATGTGTGCTGGTAATTTGGAAACCTTACTACATGAAGGGCTGTGATAGAGTTTGGAAAGTCAGATTTCTTCAAATATCACGACGACTGTGATAAATGTCAAAAACTGGGGGTATTCGAGAGGTGCAGGTCGATACAAATTATGTATATGTTTTTATGGTCACCTTGATGATCTTATAAGGATAGATTATATTTCCTCGTGCGAAATGAATATCAACGTAGTTGATGATGATCAAAACCTCTTTATGAGATATATCGACCAATTTAATAACTCATTAATGTGTTCTGGTGTTGCGCTGGTACTGTCCCGATTTTCGATTTGTTGTTGCTACCGGAGTTCTCGGGGTCTATACAGACCATACGGGGTCTATGATCCTAACCCAGAGATAACTTAAACTATGCTCAACAATTCCTTGTGAGATGTATCGACTCATAAATCTGTTCTGTGGTTGAGGTAAATTTTAGGTAATTTTGTTCAGGTTAAATTAATTGGCAACAGGAAATTTGCCTGCATGCATTGTAGAAGGTACACTGTAATTAAGAAATGGGAACATGCTGTTTGCCGAATCAGAAAACATTCGCTAATTCTATTTTAATTCTATTTTCTTACTTTATCACGGAACGGAACCACAAGAGGAATCAAGTCAAGATTAATTATGAAAGGCGCTCAGAGTTCTGGTGTAAGAGTGTTCAATATCAAAACGGAATCGAATATGTCTTTTTACACCAGGTAAAATATAGTTTTGTTTTACCATTGCAGATTTAAATAGTTATAAATTGCATGTGTCTCCTAGACATGAGCTGAGTTCAGGTTTCTGACACACTACTACAATTGTTCTGGTACATACGTTCACGAGTGCGAACAAGTGTTCATTATATAAGATCTCTGACTAATATACGCAGATAACTTATGTAGTTGGACAGGAAAATGTGTTCGTCAACAATAACAGAGTTTTTTGTTGGTCTAATGAGTGCTATGGACAGATGTTTACTCTAAGAGGAAAATATCGTATTATATTATTTTATAAAAATGACAAGTCTAGGTCAAAGACAATTGACACGCGACAAACCAATTTATCTGTACAGAAAGTGTCCCTGGAGCACCAGGGTATAGTTATTTATGCTGTGGGGCCAGCCAAATATTCGTACGTATTGACGTCACTGTGCATATATAATCCTCTGGTTTTTCCTGTTTGGAGGTTCGGTACATACTACTTACCGTCTGTGTACTATGAAGTAGGCGCACTAACAGACCTTTCAGCCATTTGACCTTGCTCCAGCAACTATTGTCTACCACATGTCGATGTAAATATTTAATATTTGATTCAATATTGATAATGATGACGTTCTTAGGGCCTCTAACATCTGATAAACTAGTATGAATATATCTGGGTGTTCAAACGAGCTGACCGTTCTTCAAAAGTCATCTTAGTATTTCCTGATCTTGTAATGTCTGCACTTATATGAAGAGAAAGAATGGGTAATCGTAAGTATATCCCTACATAGGGCAATTATACACGTACCTATTTGATAGATTCTATTTTGCAGGTTCACTTACTTAACAAACCAGGGACCGAATACTTAGTTTTGTTTGTGTTTAAGTCCTATAAACAGCTATGGTGATTTAAGGGCATGTCCGGTTTTGGTGGTAAGGCCGGAATTCCAGGAGAAAAAACACCGACCTACGGCTAGTACCTGGCGACTGTCCCACGTAGGTCTCGAACTAGCAACCCAGTGTTTGAGGGCTAATGGAAGCAGAATGCCAGACGCTTTAACCACTGGCCACCGCGGCCCCGGGACAGAATAAAAAAACAAACAAAAAAACAACAACAAAAATGTTGCTATTTACAAAAACAAGTTTAATGATGTTTTTATTCGGGACCGAATAATATCATTTTTCAATTTGTCTATATAAATAGCAACAATATAATGATTGATCTTTAAACCCAATATATTTGTACTGCATGACTCTTGACAACAAGACTGGAATAAGTATAGTTTTATATAGATTGGAATTCCATAGCACTAAAGATTGAAATGAAATATCCAGAATAACAACCTATATATATATAAAAAAAAATCTGCGCTTTTGTTTTCGTATTTTTTTAAATTAAAATTAAAATTTGATATTTACAATGTATACCATTTTAAGGAGGACAAGCTGATTCCGTATTGATTACTGATGTGGTTGTAGCTAAGCAAAAATGTCTTCAGAGAAAACAAAAGAACTTAGACTTAATAATTCGATAAAACTATGCCAGACTACATATTGGAAAAGAAAAAATGGCGACTTTTAAAAGAATTACAAAGGGAATTAGAATAAACGTCTCCAGTTATGTACAATCAGTCTCTACTTCAAATAATGTCACGTCCTCAAACACTGCCCTTCTTATCGACTATTAAAAAAGAATAGTTTCCAATCAGTGCATCAAGGTGACTATAAAGCTTTCTCAATGGCAAGTTGGTGCGTTAGTCTATGACATCCATCACTAAAATCATAGCGTTTGGAGTGAACCCTCGAATATCGAGTTAAGTGTGACATGTAAACATAGAATGTGGAGGAAGGATGTTACTGTCAAGAAAGTGTAAAAAGTGACTTGATGATCGGAACATTGACCTCGTTCCTCTTATCTTACAGCTAAGTAATACACTTTTGGTCATGGTGTAAATTAAGATTGAGATGCGCGTCTGATGTAAAAGAGTGTGTTGTGTCCTTATGAGGCGGTTCAGGCCGGCGTACACGGTTGATGTGATCAAAAATATTTTGCTTTTAAAGACAACGCATCATAGGCATATCCAAAAGTAAAATTGAAGGTTTGGACATATTTGTTGTGACCAGTCACGATAACCTCTTTGATAAGTTCAGACTTACATGTACACAAAACCTTTCGGCTGGGAGAGAGGCACAGTTTGTTCCTATAATAATCCTACAGTTTGCTGGAGCATCTTGACACTTGATTAAGCAAAGATAATTTAAAAAAGAAATATTCTCAATATTTTTATCCTCAGTATATTTCATCGGGGAATTGGTCAAAAATGGTTTACAATCATACATTTTTATCGCCATTTGCCTTTCTTCGAAGAGAAAGCTCTCCTAAAATGAGGCTGGATACATTCCCCCAAGTTTGGTACCAGTTATGATTGTGTATAGAGGGGGATTTTTTTTATTGAAGAAAAAAAGCAAGGAGGAAAATAATTCAGGATTCAGTCTACAATGTCAAAGTACGACGGTATTGATGGCAAGAATATTTGATGATGCTTGCGTGAGCAAATAGCAGAGTCAGAGATAAAAGCTTACTTGAAAGGATTATTGTGAAGTTTCGGAGTGCAGTATTAAATGAAACAGGTCTGTAGCCTTGTGACAAAGAAGCATGTGTTAGCAGTATTTCGTCCAGTAGGAAAATATAAATGTTTCGTGGTTTGACACAAGCTAAGTT